CTAAGAATGATGAGCCACAAAGAATGAAAGAAAGGAATGTCAAAGATAAAGGTACAAAGAATGAAGGGATGGATAAAGGGTAAGAGACTATAGAATGATACAAAGAATGAAGGGGTGGTCAAAGGAATGGAATGATGAAGTAAGGAAGGGTAGTGGCAAGAGTCAGCACACATATAGTTCATAGATAGTGCTCCTGAGGGACAGAAGTCCTGAGTTCTAGTACAGAAGGGTGCAGAACCCTTGGAACTGAAGGTACAAGAGTAGAGAACTGTAACATCACCCCCCCTCTAAAACCAATTGTCCCAATTGGTGAGCATTAGGCTTGGTCAGCAGCTTGGGCATAGGTTGGAATGGTAGGGTTTGGAAATCTGTGAGGCAGAGTTGATGCAGAGCACCTGGATGAAGTTGATAGAAGTCTCAGATTGCCTTAGCAGTATGGGTGAGATTCTCAGCAGGTTCCCAAGTGCATTCTTTAACTAGGTATCCCTTCTAGTGAATAAGGAACTTGAGCTTTCTGTACACCAGCTTGGCATCTGCTACATATTCTACTTTGTATTCTGGTTCAGAACTGATGAGTTCTGGTGGAGGCAGTGGGGGTCTTTGTTACAAAGGAAAACCTGGATTGTAGTATTGAGACAGCAGAACCTTGTTAAACACTGGGTGTATGCACTTCCATGTTGCTAGAAGTTGGAGTTTGTAGGCAGAGGTGCCAACCTTCTTTTCAATAACAAAGAGTCCAAAGTGCTTATTGTCCAACTTCTTCATTGGGCAATCCATAGTCAGGTTAGTGGCTTCCAGCATAACTTTGTCACCAGGCTGGTAATCCTTGGCTGCAGACCTCTTCCAATCATAGTTCTGCTTCATGACCTGTACTACCTTTTCCAAAAGAGCTCATACATCCTTCCTGGTTCTGTACATCTGTTCTACAAAGTCTGTTGCAGATTCAGAACTGCTGTTCCAGTTTGGAACTGTCCCCTAGTACAGATGTCTCCTATGATTGAGGAAGAACAGGGACTGTCCTGTTGTAGAGTGTTGCTAGTTATTGTGCACAAATTCTGCCAGAGCTAGCCATTCAGACCAATCTGATTACTAATGATTGATGAACATCCAGAGGTAGAGCTCAATCTCCTGATTGACTTGCTCAGTTTGACTGTCAGTCTGTAGGTGATAGGTAGTGGAAGGGTTCCCTTGAATTCCAAGAAGCACATACAAGTCCTGCATGAATTTTGACTCAAATTACAGTCTGTAATCATGAATGAGCTTCTGAGGGAGTCTGTGCAACCAGAAGATGTGATCCTAATAAATGCACACTATGCCTTTGGAAGTGAGTTCTGTTTGGGTTGGAACTGTATGGACTTGCTTGGAGAATCAGTTGACAATCACACAAATAGTGTTGTAACCCTAAGACTCAGGTAGCTTA